TTTGGGGGGGGGGGGGGGTCCCGTCGCCTCGTGGTGAACACACAGCCATACCTAGTCTGCGGGATTTTGAGGTTCAGCGCCCGCTTGATGGAGATGCTGTACGAGGCTGTGAAGAAGTCGTTCGTCAGGACCAGCAAGTACCCCTGAAGCTCGAACTTGAGGTCGAAATACGCGGCGAGGATGGATCCGCCGATCATCATGGCCACAGAAAGCTGCCGTTGCCCCGCGAGAGATGTTATTTGGCGGTCGTGACGGACGGATGGTGGCATGTGCGTGTTCCAGAAAAAGTGCAGCATGGTACCACCCGCGTATATTTTCCAGTCACGGGGTCAGCAGCAGCAGCAGCAACAGAGAAGGCGAAGGCGTACAAACCGGTAGTGAGAGCCGGGACGAGCAAGAAAACGCATAGCACTCTAGGCTTGTGCACGAAAAAATTAAACCAACACATATTGAATTAAGGTCAGTGCAGTCCGCCCTGGGTCAATACTCAAGAAGATGACGGAAGCCACGTGTTGATCAAAACAAGAAGGAGTCACGGAGCCCCCCTTTTCGTTCTGGACGTAGGGGTCGGGAGGAACAAGATCTCCTTTCCCTGTCACTTCTGTGTTCCTTGGCGAACGACACGTGACCGCGCTTTGCTTCCGTTTCACAGAAGATATTTTCTTGTCATCGTCCACGCAACTACGGTAAACTGCCGACGCGCCGTCTGCTCACCTGCACCGTTCTAGACGTCACCGTGTTCAAAATGTACCTCTCCATGATCATGGTCATGAGGATGCTGAAACGCCTGAGGGCCGTGAACATCTGAATGCCCACAGGGGGAGGATAGCGGGCGGGTGGGTGGGTAGGGAAGGGAGCAGGAACAGGAACAGGAACAGGAACAGGAACACGCGATATATTAGTCGCGACAAATCGCAAGGTCACCTTTCTGAAAACTTGACCCGTCTTCGCGTTTTTCGGAAGGAAAAAAAAGAGAAAGAAAATTAGCTTAGCTTCACACCACTCGTAGCTCGTTCGTCCGCATGAATGTTTCTGCCAAACGCTGCTGATTCAACCGCCGCACTTTCCAAGGGTTCTGTCTCAACTGCAAGACACCAACCCCAACCAATGCCGTCTAAAGAGGCATGTTGTACACACCCTGTCTCAAGCAACCTCTTGGGGGTCCAATGCACGAACAAACTAAACCATAAAGTGGACCGATCGCACCCCGCGTATGTAGGCTGCCATTTTTTAAGTTCTCCAGACCATGACGTCTAAACGGTGGTCTGAACAGCGAAGAAGCTGGTCGGCCCTGCTCTTTACAAAACAAGGAGCAGGAGGCTCGCCTGCACCATTCCCCCTTTCGTTTTCGTTTGGGTTTTAGAGGCAGCAACGGGCAGAACTTCAAAAGTGGCCAGACATATGCATGTTGTAGCACCGGGAAAAACATCAACTCCCCTCCACATCTGAAGAAGTGGGTTCAATACGTCTCCATTTATTAGGTACTATCACGGAACAAGTCGCCTTCGGATGCATTGCTGTCGGTAGAAGGCGTTCGCGAGAGCCAGCGATCGTAGGATACGATGAAAAAACTTTGGTGCATGCCCCCCCCATTTCCTACAAAAGCAGCACATCAACATTGTCCATCGTTGTCATTGCGTTGGAAGCTGACGCCTCGTCTCGTTTGCTTCGAAGGTCTGAGTGTGTTTGGGGTGCTCAGCAGGATACTGATATACGGGGCCTCCGGGGGTTACGTGGATGATGTTTGTGTATGATGGACATGATACGTGCGGGGCCCCTCGTGCCTCCGCCGTGCATGCCACTTCTCTAATCAACCAAAGGTCTTGAGTCAACCTTCTTTCTCTTTCGGCCTCTGACGGGCTACCGCACCCAAACAGAGTGTCCTCTCTCTCTCTCTCTCTCTCTCTCTCTCTCTCTCTCTTCCTCTCTCCTCCTACCACACCTCACAGCCTTCAAAATCAAACTCACGTGGATCCCCAACCAAGTTCTTGGGACGGTTGGTTGTAGTTCCCAACTTCCTAGCACATTTCTCATTCTTCTCTCACCGGGAGGCTAATTCGTTTCGTGCCGCCCAGCCCGGAAACGGTGTTGAGAAGAAAGATAACCATGAGCGGCGCGACGGCCTCCGCAGTTGCCCTGTCAAACCTAGCAAGCTGTTGCGTTGGAGAGAAAGGAGAGAGACGGGGGGCAGAGACGGAGGTGTTTACTCGAGAGAAGGAGGGGGGCGCGCCGGCGCGGCGATGGTGGTGTGCAAGAGTTGAACGTACTTCGGCACACAGCCAGAAATACACATGAAAAACTTCACATACGAATACCGCCGTACCTAAGGGGGGGCGTCGTAATGTCTACCCCGTGTTTCGTCGACGGAATTTGCTTCGCTACCGCTGCTCTCGTGAGACCACTCCCACTCCGCATATCCCGATCTCGGCCGACCAGCGGCTCGCAGATCGCTGCATGGGCTACCGGTGCATGGTCCGTAAAGTTCTGCGCCTACCTACTACTATCTTGTACACTCAACCGCAAACTGCTTTGGCGCCCACCTGTACGTGCCCCGTGAGGCGTAGCACGTTCACGACGAGGCATGTGGACGTGAATTGGGAGATGGCGATGAAGAAAAAACTCGGAAACCCTTTGCTCGTCAGGACCAGCTGTGTATCGCGTAACGTCGCCCGGCACGGGGCAAGGGGCGGCACGGCGGCACGAGCACGAACCGAAAAGAGGGGTCGCAGATTGGGATGGGCAAGGGCAACGGGGGGGGTCGTGCAAACGTCTGCCGTCCGACCGTCATACTTTTTTACATGGAACAAGATCGACAGCCTCACGACGACATCATCGGGGGGTATTGTATGTATGCATACGGGAGAAACGTTCGGGCTGCTGTCAAACGAACTTTAACGTTGGCTCTCAACGGGGAGGGAGAGGAGAGTATTATGTTTGTGGGTCATTGGCCGCTGCTTGTTTCAAAGCCGTACTGAATACAAGCTGGGCCAGCCAAGACGCCTACAAAATGGTTGAAAACGATTTACATCACGATTTTTACGAGTTAGAATCTGAAATTTTGACACGTGGTCGGTGTTAGTGAAACGAAGACCTTGACTGGCCGTACTTTTTTTTTTTTTTCACGAGGTAGCCCTATTAAAGGGAAAATGGCGTATTGATTGGTCGCGATAGGGGGACTAAAAAAAAAAAAAAAAAGTACGGCCAGTCAAGGTCTTCGTTATACTATAACACCGACCACGTGTCAAAATTTCAGATTCTAACTCGTGACAATCGTGGTGTAAATAGAAAATTGCTTACTGGCCTCTACACCTGGGCGCAAGGACGAAAATATATATAGGAATATACAGGAAAATGTTGTATTGTAGAGCATATTTTACGAGGCCATAACTTTCGATGGAAGATGACCTGAGCCTTGTAACTACCATCATTGTTCTCGCAATGCTCCCAGGTAAGTGCACACCAAATTTCGGCTTAATCTGTAAAAACGTTTTTTATACTGATTTCAGTACCGGAAGCATCCCCCACTACACCGCCAATTGAGCATTTAATACCCAAATCAACTCAGATTCGAAAAATTCTGGCACCGGCGCATCCTCGATGGTCTTCTAAGTGTAGGCACAAAATTTCAGGCCAAAACTCGTGGAATTGGCAGCGTGAGACGCGAAACAACGAAAGTGAGCTTCTTGGCTGGCCCAGCTTGTATGTAGGGCGGGGGAATGAGCCGCGGGATGGCGACTCAATACCTTGCAGTAGTCATGTCTGCAATGCTTACAAGCATGGTGCACGAATGCCGACAAACAGCAGCGTGAATCGTTTGTGGTGCGGCTACGTGCACGAGAGGGACAGGGGTGCGACGGGCGCGACGAGGTTGTATGTGTGGCCCGTTCAAAAAATTGCACTTTACGTGCGGCAGTTTCTTTTCCGTTGATGGACCTAATGCACATGCACACACCCGCGAAGAACCAAAATATGAAGTCTTCCCGCTGTGGGGACGCAAAAGACGCACACCTGGAAGAGGCACGCATGCGGTATATACCTGGCGGCGAGCGTATCACACATATGCATACGTGACATTGCCGAGGAGCACGAGCGGCAGCGTAGACATAGGATTGTGACAGGCAGATGCGTGACAGACACATGACAAATATTGCGCCAGGCTCACAACTTATCCGCCATCACATTCGTCTCAAGCCTTCTGAATTTCCCGCAAAAGTGAAAGCACGCAATCATAACACATACATGCACCGGAGCCGTTGATGGCCATGACTTTGATGCGAGAGACCCAGCAGCAGCAACAGCAGGCAGGGCACGGCTTTTGCGAAGCCAGTCAGTAGCGCGGCGCAAGTACGAAACCTGAAACCGATCCCGAGAAACCATCCTAATAACGCACAGCAGTAGACCCTCACGCCCTCGACGGTTTCTCTCGATAGTAGGTAGGTGTGATTTGGACTCGGGGGAAGGTGTGTTTGTGATCATCGGTCTCCTGTTTATTGAGCAGTCGGTATGCTAGGACCCACTCAACATCAAAAAACACCCCCGCCAGGTTTCACATGACGCATGACTATACCCACGGCGCGCACGTCGTACAGGCTCGGCCCCTCCTCGTTTTTCATAGCTGGTCTCGGATCAGCGCCCCAGCGGTGATGCGTTTTTTTGTGGTGTTGTTGCGTCTCTGCTTCTGTTTCTTCTGGTTTCACGCGTGCGCGCGCGCGATCTCCGTTTTTGTGTTCCCCTTTTCGCGGAGAACCGGCGGGGTTGAGGACAACGATTTCCTACGAGTTTAGGGCACAAACGCTTGTGTGGTACGGCCATCTGCTATCGGAGCACGACCAAAACAGTGTGACGAAGAGCCCGCTATATCTTCTTCCTCAGAAGCGAACAGATCGTCAATGGGTGCCCTATAGATCTCGTTCTGGTTCCAAAAGGTGGGTTGGTCATATCGGCTTCCCGGGGCCCCCGTATCGCGGGCGCAGCTTTGGCCGATACTTAGAGTCTGTTTTTCTCTCCTGGGATGGAGGGAAAAGAACGGTCGCGCTCTGCGCTCCGCGGCTCATTATAACATTATAATAGCTGCCGATCCATCCTGGATCATATCCATGTATGTACCCGTACCCCCGTTGGATGAGATACTACACATACAGCATGCAGTCTACACTCGTAACGTTTACATAGAGCAGCAGCGGGGGGGCCGGTTTAGCGACCACAAAACCACGTCGCACCGACGCACCCCGGTAGTAAAACTGCCATATAATTGATAGTTCGGTGTAGCGACCTGCCCTGAATATTGGCCACGTTTCGTCGTGAAACTAGGGGTCGCTAATCCGGGTCCCCTACTCTGTACTCCGTAGATGTAACGACACACACCCATGATTACAACAAACGCATACACTGCGGTGTGCATACGTATCCGCACCTTATTCACGAAAATCACCAACAGGCTCGCTGCGGCATAGAACAATGCCGCCGCAGCCTGCTCCACGAGCGTGGGCGGCGGCACCGACGCCTCCTCCCCGGCGGCACCGTTTGCGAGGGCGTCCTTCGTGGTCGAGGGCCGCAGATATTGCTGGCCTTTCAGATCCTCGTCGGAGAAGTGTCTCGTGGAACGGTACACAACCTCCGTGTTCCGACGAGGGGAAGCCTCTTGGGGGAGAATGAGCGCCTTGCTGTCCTCCCGTTCGATGTCCTTCATGGCTCTAGCAGCACCAGTAGCAGCAGAGGAGACGCCGGGCACCACCCCCACCCTCTCGCTTTTCTGTACTACTGCCGTACCCCTCGAAGACCCTTGTTGTGGGAACAAACGGGTTGGTTGGTTGCTGCGACTGCGAACTGCGAGCTAGGAGAACGTTGCTTCTGAGGGGATAGTGCAGAGCAGAGTGCGTTTCACAAAGATGCCAGCGGGATGGACGAACAGTATCGACAGCAGTGGTTGGGTCGGCAAGACAGACCAGCGTGCTGTGCGTGCTTGTGGGTAACAAACGCACAGCTCACCAGCAGCAGCAGCACAGAGCGGGCAGGCGGGCCGGCGAAATACCAGAAAATCCGGTAGCGGCGGATCTCCTATCGTTTGGAAAAAATACATTCTGCAGAGCCCCCCCCTGTGTTGCTTGTTTGGCGGACACAGAGCTAGCACGCTCACTGATTAAACACGACGTGCTTATGTAGACACTATAAATCTAACACGTTCACATAATTCTTGTGATTGAACGGTTGGCATCGAACGGTTGTGCCAAGCGGTGCTCCATGGTAGCAGATAGAGGAGGGGGTACGCAAGATGAACGAACCAAAATTTTACGTACCCGATGGTATCTTGTTGGGAGACCCCCCAGCATTGAAAGGAGACCGTCGCCAAAAAAGGAGGCGGCCCAGCCGCCTTGGTGGGGCTCTTCAATTGCCGCTCACGTAGAACAACGGTTGTAAATACCCGCCTCCATCGCACCACATTTGCCGCTGCGTTGGTGTTCGCGGGCACCTAAACCACACTTGCTTCCCGTGGCATCCTTTATAGTTTTTGCTCTTTGGCGCAGCGTTGCCCCAGCTGTGTTGTCACGATTGCTTCGTCACAGCAGCAAGCAAGGCGGGTTGTTCTGCCCCTGTTCTCGCCGAGCGGCCGCGGCGGCATTCCTGTAGGACACGATGGAGGACGACGAGGCCGACACGAGGGCGTTCTGGGACTTGATGCAACGCACGACGGGCGCCCGCTCTGCGTCCTGGGACACTTTTTCGGCTACATTTGAGGTTTGTTATGCGCACAAAGTCTTGGTGAAAGTTGACGAGTTGTTGTTGTTGTTCGAGTTGGATCAGCATGGTTACATTAGCTGGCAGACACCAATCTCTTGTCCTGTGAGCGCCCCAACTATGGTGCTCATGCAGCTGCTCTCCGTTGTTTCTGCTCTGCGATTTCGTAACTGTTCTTCCCCCAGAGCAGGGTATTGCGTTTGTTTAGTTGGATAGCTCGAAGAACAGCGAGAGGATTAGAGTCTGCATCTATGGTCAGCTTCGACCAGCTTGCCACCGCAACGGAGCAAACATACATGTACGTAGTTGTGCCGCATTCCCGCCGCGACAGAGCCAAGAGAACGCGGCAAGCAATTGCCAACCTACGCTCCCTGTCTCCAAAAAAGTCGCGAGAGAGAGGGGGGGTGCTCCTGCTGCAGCCGCGACGGCCACGTCGACATGCATCACAACACATTTCCGCTTCAACGGAGCGGGGGATCTGACCACAGACAGAGGCGCCCCTGCCTCCCCAAACAAACTTCGCGCTGATGACGCCGCCGACGGCCGACGCTGTTTCTCTCGCCTTCTTGCTCTGCTAATCCCATTAGACTTACTTGCGGAGATACTACGCGGCGGAGATGTCGCAGCTGCCCAGGGCCACCCGGGCGGAGGCGGAGATGGTCCTGAGGTACGCGTTCGACAGGGGGAGCCCCGCGCGGGCGGCTGCGGGAGAGCGCGTAGCGCCCAAGCACCTGGCGCTGTTCCTGACCAGATTCGGCCCCATGAGGTCTTGCCTTATCAAGGCTGCAAGGTGATATGGCCAAGCGGCATTACTTTGATTGTGTTCCGTTTCGAAAGGTTACGGGCGCGTCGTAAAACCATAGTTGTCCGCTGGGTAAAATGACTAAAGTGGTATACATGCTCGTCTACTGCTGACTGCTGTAGACTGATGTTCCGAACGCTTTTACCGCTCTGAGTGCCCTTTGCAAAGATCCCCGCCAATGCGCTTGCAAACTGCTCGCGCAGTAGTCATCCAAATCATCGGCATTGTAGGAACGGCGGCGAAATACAGAATGGCCACAAAGTTTCAAAATGTTTTGCCGTCTCAAAGGGAGCAACACACGCGAACAACAAAACAGAGACAACCACGGCCGTCCGTCAAGATCGAGGCCTGAAGAAAAACAATTTTCACCGTCTAACATGCTGAGCGGGACGATGTCACGCCACTGATGCTGATGCTGCACGAGCGATGTCACATGTTTTTTGGTTCCATTCTCTTCGGGCATGGCATCTATGATGATACACGGGCGGAATTTGGTGGTATGTATACTTGACCTTTGTACATTGGGTTGGAATATACTTCTTAGTTTTGGCGCCCCCGTCCCCCTCGCACACCTTTTCCCCACGGGAGGAAGCCAAACCCTGACGCGAACTATGTGTAATGATACCAGCAGAAGCAGCGATAGCGGCGGCTTCGTTGCTGGGACGACACAACGGTTCGAGACGTAGGAGGAGGTAGCCGTGCTGGCATAGCAGCCCCCCCCCCCCCCCTCCTCTTTCCGACACAAGTGTCAGCGGAACGGAAGGGGCATGAGCCGTCACGTTATTTCCCGCCTTCCGCCTCTCGCTTCGCGTGCTGGTCGGCTTCGCAGGGTCGTGGTTCGATAGACGCCGCAGCACCAAGTGTTCCAAAAGCACGACGGTACCTCCCCGCTGCAACCACTCGTTTATTCGTTTACGGAGCTATCTTCGTCCTGCATTGGTCTTGTGTATTGCAAGTACAGCTCAGGTAGCCCCGGTTGGCGCTACTGCGCTTACCCCAATGTCTGGTGCTTTCTTGTCTTGTGGGACCGTTGTATCCGCTTCCCCCTGTTGTCTTCGATTGAACTCTCTAGTATGCCAGCCCGTGTTTACCGCACACTAACGAACAGAGCGGGTTCCGCCGCCGCCGCCGCCAACCCCACCCCCCCCTGTCGCCCGGGGTGATTCCAGATCACTTTTTGACGAATCCGGCTGCCTGGTGCCTTGGTTCCATGGCAAGTTGTCGCGAGACGAGGCTCGGCGTGCTATCGAGGAGTGGGAGGCGTCTCGCGGCAACGGGCGGGAACAACGGGGCGTGTTCCTCTTCCGCTACAGCGACTGGCATGTGCGTGTGTAGTGTGCGAGGTAGTTGGTAACAGTTGTCGAACATCACCAGGCTATTTTGCTGGTTCGGCTATTTAGCTGGTTCCAACACGCAGTCATCCATTGTCGTCTTCCGATTCGCCAGGTTGGTGTGGACGCACGAGTTGTGTACTACTGGTTCTCGCCAACACGTGTAGGTAAAACCGTTCCTCAAGATCAAGTCTAGTTGTGGGCGGAGGCTCCGTGCACTGCTCTGAGTGCGTGTTACCAGGAAGAAGCAGGGGAGCGCTCTTATAGGGCCGTCAGCATTACTCCATGCTTGTAGTTGCAGGTCTCCAACAGGTTGGCTACAAGTCGTTTTTTTTTTGTTCTTTTCGTTATAAAGAAGTGCGGTCTGGTGCGTGGTTGGTCCTTTGCATGCGCGACGGCGACGGCCTGTTGTAAAATGTTTCCCCACGCCACCTCGGCGGTGCGCGCAGGTGGGTAAGAGCTCCCCTCTCCCCCCTGCTATCCAGCCCCCACTATGTCCGCATGCCCAGCTTGCGTTTATATGTATATCCATGACTACCCTTTTCCCACGGTCCCATGCGCGCAACCCGTTCTTGTGCGGTATTGAACGACGCCAAGAATTGGGAGGGTGATTGCATGCTTTGTTGCGTTATTGAACGACGCCCCCTTCTCCCCGTTGCGTGGCCATAGGCCCGATGCGTTCGTTGCCTGACCCACCCTTGCCCCTATCGTATGCTTGCTGCCCTTCTCCCCCCTGCGCGCCCCCCCGGCGTCGCTCCGCAGTCGACCATCTGCTTCTCCTTCCGGCGGAAGAGGGGCGAGAGGAGGCTGGTGACCTGCCTCATCAACAACGAGGGCAGTAGGGGTTACACGCTTCCCGACACGAGCGGCGACGGCTGCTGGCGAGACCTCCGGGAGTTCGTGGCGGAGCAGAGGAGAGGAGACTTCCAGCAACCGGTGCCGTCGGCGCTGCACCGGGAGTGCGTGGAGGAGATTGAGGCACGACGGCGAGCTGAGCAGGTAAGGTGGTGGGGGGGGTGGGGGTGGGTGGGCGGGGGAGCTTACCTAACCGTAGCCCTAATTTCGAAGTACATACCAGCGGTTGACAGTGTCGAGATGGACGGTACAGGCGGCCGCGGCCGTAGAGACACCGCCAACGTTCGGATGGCCTCAGCCCGTTCCGCTTTCATGACAAGAAACTCGTCAACATGCGCGCGCGCTCTGTAGTGCCCATGGGTGAGGGCACCTTTTGTGTTCACTTGCATCGATTTGTCTTGGTGGGAACGGCATCCCCTCCCTCGCCCAGCCCGCCGCAGCGGAAGTATGCGCGGCTGCTGTGTGTCCCGTTTTGTATCTTGACGCCGTCATCCCCACAAGCAAGAAGTGTTGCCGATGCGCTTATGATTTTTTTTCTGGCTCTTGGCTCTGTCGGTCACTCTCTACCTCTGGCTCGCTCTCTCTCTCTCTCCTTGCTTGCGTCTGTCTCCATCTGTGCCTCTCCGCTGCGTATCATTGACATCTCCGCGCCCAAGTTCGTACCAACGCCGGAGAACCAAATCGCCTACGCTCGACAACTGTTCGGAGAAGCGCAGGTGAGCCACCGTCATGTGTTTATTTCGATGGCGAAGACCGCACGTGACCCCTGTCAACAAACGAAAGAAGACGTCAGCCTCTCAGCGGCAGCACAAAATCTGTGAACAATCTTTCTTTCTAGGTTTCCGGGCTCCCCCGAAAGTAGTAGAGCCGCGGATGAGAAGTGGGGCGGGTGCGTTTGTGTGTGTTTACCGTCGTACGCCTGTGTGCCCATGTTGAGTTTCGCGGGTAAAGTGGCTGTTGACCTATACGGTGCGGTGATAGGCGTATCTAGATCGTCCGTTTTCGTCCTTTGTGGAGAGGACTGATGGCGGTTTTGTCCGAATCGCCTCGCGGAGTCGGGCCTTACTCCCCCCCGCCTCGCTGCCCGACCCGCCATCTACTTTGCACAGACGATGGTGTACAGCAGAGACATGAAGGCGGGGTTCGAGGCCACGAGGATACTGCAGGAGGCCTTAGGCTTGGTCGAGAAGGTGAAGCAATCAAGTCACGGGCCGGACTGATGTAGCCCCCCCCACGGGGTCCGATGGCATGGTTGCGGTCGGCCTGCTACCACCCGTGGCTTATATCATCACGCAACGGCAGCGTTTAATTATAGTGCCAGACCCCCCCCCCCCCCCTCGTAACTCCTTTCTCGCCTGCGCGCCCACGCGCGTCTTGGTCCTCCGTCGTGCCTGAAGCCAAGCGCAACAGCAGTAGCGGGGGTAGTTCGGAGTGCAAACGGAAACTTGCGCTGCTTTCCCACCGACCACCCCCCCCTGTATCCGGATGATAACACTGACATCCACGTCCATATTTGCCACCTGTCTCCTAGTTCCCACGTGCTTCAAAGTGGTCATGCGCGTCTATTGTGTTGTTTTGTCGGCGTCGCGGTTGGTTCTCAAAATGTGCGTTTCGTGCAGCGACGAACGGTTATCACACACAGCGCCAGGGGGGGGGGGGGGTATCGGTCTTTACATGGTTCGACCCTCCTCCCTCCTATTTTTCGTTTTGTTTGCTCAACGAATCGTCGTGCGCCAAAACGAAACAGGTGGAGCATATATTGCTAGAGCTGGAGCAGGGCCAGGGGGATCCCCAGCTGCAGGCAAAGGCGCTAAGGCTGGGGGGGGATATCCTGTGGAAGCTGCACCGGGAGGAAAAGGGGGTGGCGAGCTACCTGCGGTGCCTGAACGTTGTGTCGGAAGCGGAAAAAGTCCAGGGCGCGAGTGACCATGGCAGGTGAGGAGGGCGAGGATAAAGGCCGGAGGGGGGGGGGGTCCTGATCCGGGCGTTCTCCTTCGTTGCGTACAACGATTTGTTTTGTATCCCCTTGCTGTTGGTCTTCTTGTGGCTGCCATATACCTGCGAGGATAGCTGTAAGTAACGTTGATTCACGACTGGGTCCGCTTGCTTGTTGGAATCCCTCACAACAGTGAAAAATGTACAGCC